CAGTCGAACATGCTGCACAGGTGTCCGGTACCGATCAGGTAGAGTAGAGGCAAGTGGCGGCGTACGTGGGCGGAGGCAAACTCACCGGCACATGTCGGGCCGCGCAGCTTCCCACCGGGGCAGAGGCACGCGAGCGCCCCGATCACGTTCCTGTACCGGCACTGGCCCTCGCTCACGAAGCAGCCTCGTCCTTGTCGGTAGTCACCTTTTTGTACATCTCGAGCCGGTGTACTCCTCGGCGATGAGCTCCGGATGCATCTGGCGGAATGCATCCGGAGCTCGACCATGTACTCTTCATCAACGCGCGCCACCTCGAGCCCCTCAAAGGCCTTCCGATTCTCCTGCAACTTGCAGCAGGAGACTACTCGGGATCGATGTTGACGGGCCTCAGGACCTCGCCACTGCCGATGGGAAAGTTGATCTCCACTCGGCTGTCGTAGAGGCTCACTGCCTTCTTGTCGTACGCCCTCGCCGGCGACTAGAAGGAGCCAAGCCAATACATGCGGCTAATGTCCCCGCCCTTGATTTTAGAAACCCAGGCCCACCACGGTCCTCCTTTTTCTTCCGCGGTGGTAGCAGAAGGTCGGTGGTGAAGGAGTAAGAGGGGATCGGGGGAGCCACGGTGTGCTGCTCGGGTTGGCGGGGCGACGCGACGTGGAAAAATATATAATTGCCGTAAAAAATATTTTATGTTACGACTATATATATATGTATAGGGTCGCGCTATTCGTCACCCTGGGTGATGAATAGTTATTCTTCACCCCCTTTATTTTATCATCAATGCACCGTAATTCTATGTTCCGTAAGTTTTGTCTTATTTCCGACACAAAAAAAGACCGTAAGAAAATATATAATTGCCGTAAAAAATATTTTATGTTATGTAAAATTACAAACGTAAAAACATAGTCTAAAATACACATAAACTGCAAATTTTCTTGTCTTATGACCTATATTTTTATTTTTTTATGTCAAATTTTACGTAATGAATCAACATGAATGTAACTATTTGAATTCCAAACGTAATTTAATTATGAAATGATCGTAATATTACCTCGAGTGAAGAATAACTTATTCTGCACCCTGGGTGATGAATCGTAACACTATATATAAGCAACTGTCGAGAGGACAAGCAAAAGTTTTAGAGGGGCTAAAGCCGATAAGAAATCGTTTAGGTCTGGACGTCTGGTCTAAGGGCATCTCCAGCCGTTGGCCCCCCAGGGGGCGAATCACCGCCTGGGGGTGAGCCGGCGCAAAAATTGGGCCTGGGGGCGAGTTGGTCCCCAGCCGCCGGCCCCAGGGCCGCCCCCAGGCATGTTTTAAAATAAAAGAAGTTCGGCGAAGTTCGGCTTAAACACGATAAATTTCGGCCAAACACGATAAATTTCGGCACATTTCGGCGAAGTTCGCGGATTTTCATTACATAGCACATATACATAAACTAATCTAAAGGAAAAACTGGCTGAAGTCGCCGTCGTCGCCGCCATTGTCGTCGTCGGCCATCTCCTCCTTGACGCGGGCGCCCCTGCTGGACCCCTGCCCGGCGTCGCCATGGCGGACTGGTGGCGGCGCATCGTCGTCGTCGTCGTCGCTGTCGCAGATGACGACGACTCCGCCTTCGTCGCGGCCGCGTCGACGCTCCGCGAAGCGAAGCAGGGCGGTGCGCTGGCGCTCTTTCGCCTTCTCCAGGCGCTCCTTCTCCATCGCTATGGAGTCCCTGCGCGCCCATTTCAGGGCCGCGTCATCGTCGTCGAGCTCCATCGTCACCGGCGCGGCCGGCTCCTTCTTCACCGGCGCGAGCCCCGGCTCCGTCTTTGGCTTGACGAAGCGCGGAGGAGGAGCCGACGAGTAGGCGCGCCGGCCGCCCTCGTTGATGACGATGCCGGCGTTGCGAGTGCGCCGGCCGAGCGGTGTCTCCGCCGCGGGCTCGGCCTTGATGCCGAGCAGGGCCGGAGTGCCGGAGGAGTGCGATGAAGATCGGGAGGAGGAAGAAGAGGAGGAGGACCCGAACCTCCTTGGCGCCCATGGCCCGGCCGCCCTCGCTGGGTACGCCAACGGCGGGTCGTTGCTGCCCTCGAGATACGTCAGCACGCCCTCGAGTGTGCGGCCGGGGACGCCCCACCACAGGTGGCGCCCCTCGCTGTTCTGCCGGCCGCCAACCACCGGCGCACTGTTGATGGACGCCAAGCGCTGCTGCTGGCGACGCTCGAAATACGCCGCCCAAGCCGCGTGGTTGTCGGCGGCGTACTGGGGGAGGGAGAGTTGGGCGTCGGTGAGGGAGACGCGCACGACCTTGACTTCCTCCGCGAAGTACTTCGGCTTCGCCACGGCGTCGGGCTACGGGGGAATGGGCACTCCCCCGACGCTGAGCCTCCACCCCGTCGGCCCGGCGCGCATGTCCGGCGACGCTGGGATGTTCGCCTGGAACAGGAGCCAGGACTCCTGTTCGCGGAGCGAACGGCGGGCGCCGCCTCGTCTCCGGGGTAGCGTTCCGCCATGGCGACGGGCTCGGGAGAGGGAGAGAGATAGAGGGAGGGGCTGGGCGGCGGCGCTCGGGAGAGGGAGGGGCTGGGCGGCGGCGCTCGGGAGAGGGAGGAGCTGGGCGGCGGCGAGGGGCGGGGCTGGTGTGGGCACAGACGAGTGCAGGCCACCGGCTATATAGCCGCGCCGCACCCGTGTGTACGCGTGCGAGGGAGGGGAGGCGTCGGCGCGCCGTCACGTGACGCGCCGCCCGTGAGGAATCAATGGTAAGGCTGACCGGCGGCAGCCTTGGCATTGATTCCCCGCGGGAACCGAGGCCGTTGGGGGAAGACGAGGCGCCGTGTCGCTGACGTGGCGGGCCCGCGGTTGTTTCGCAACAAAACAGTTTGCCCCGGTGCCCCCCAGCGCGCCGGGTTCGGCCTGGGTCCGTCGGCGCTGTTTTCGGCCCAGGCCGGCAAAAATCGGATTCCTGGGGTGCGACTGGGCCGTTTCTTTGGCGCCGGCGTGAAAAAATCGCCTGGGGAGGCCTTCCTGGGACGCGGCTGGAGATGCCCTAACCCCTCAAAACTGAATTGTTACTCTAACCCGTTTTAAGAGATCGACTAGAGATACCTAATGTATATAGGAGTATCAATGGTTGACATTCCTTAAATGAAAATGTCTCTGTGTTGGAAATCGCGACGTTGACTTTGCTGGTCAAATTTATGCATGATCTGGGTATGTTATTCTACACTCCCAGAATTTTTTATACCCATTTCGGCTGCTATGGAGTACTGGAATAAAACAGATTACCCAGTCCATTGCTAACACTGGTCCGTTCAAGCTAATCCTATTTTTTTATTTTTTTTGCGAGTAATCAAGCTAATCCTATTTATCACCACAAGTCTTCGTGCTGGGCTGCTAAGCATGCAAGGTACTGAAAGACCAGAAAATAACAATCGAACAATCTGCACAAGAAACTATAACAGGCAGTCGAATCGCATCCGCATGGAGATGCAGGGGAGGTGTCGAGCAACTCACCGTAGTCACCGCACGTGGCCGGGTGCATGCGGCCGCCGTGGCACAGGCACCCGAACGCGTTCGCGCCGGCCTCGTACCGGCACCCCCCGCCGGTCTCGCTGCACGCCGCGCAGTCCCCGGGCACCGTCCACTCCAGCAGGAACCCGCGCCCGACGATCCCCGCGTAGTCACCCCACGCCCGCAGCTCCGACCTGGGCAGCACCGGCACCACCGAGTACTTGCACTCCGCCGGCCCCGCCGGTCGAGCCTCGTACCTCCGTCCGATGTGCACGGACCACGCGTCGGTGACTGTGCCGGAGCAGCTGTTAAGCCAGAGGGAACCCGCGGGCGGCGGCGGGGCGCGCGAGCAGTTGTTGCAGAAGAAGAGCTCCCAGTTGTCGCCGCTGACAGCCAGCGGCGAGAGCGCGAGGCTGCTGGACACGTTGAACCGCGTGGCGCGGCAGGGGTCGTCGCTGGCGGCGACGAGGCTGTTGTGGAAAGCCACGACGGAGCGGTTGCCGTAGCTGATGTCCAGGAGTCGGAGGTAGGACTCGCTGAGGGTGGGCGTGGTGGCGCCGGTGGGGTCGTCGCATGTTACGCCGAAGGTCGGGTAGCCGCAGTTGGGTTCGTGGTGACCGCGCAGCCAGAACGGGTACGTGATGGTCAGGCCGCCGCACGCCGCCGGCGCGCAGCTCGCGTCCAGCGGCTGCGCGCGGGCGCCGAGCAGAGGCATGCACAGGAGTAGCAGCACGAGCAACATATCGGATCAAATGGCGAAAGGGGGCGATTTTCTCTCGTATTTTGAGATGGGGAACGAGACTTGTAGCCGGCCAATGTTAGAACTTGTAGCCGGCCGCGGCCGCGGCCATGGACGAGGAGGTAGTGGGTGAAGAGAGCAGCCGATTTGTGTGACATTTTGGGCGTTTGATTACGGGGACTAGAGAGTTTGGTCAATGTTAGAACTTGGGAAGATGGTCTTGGTCGATCCTCCGGGGTTATTTAGCTATATTTTCGGATGACTTTGGTGCATGCGTGCGAAAATCGGGAGAGGAGGAACGTGTCTCAAATACTAACTGACAAGATTTTTGTTGTTGAAGGAAGCAGCGGGGACAAAAGGTTTCCCAGCAGCTGGGAAAAGGTTTTTCTTCTTGATTGTTTGATTCAGAATATTAGAGTCCTTAGAACATTTTCCATAAGATTCATTTGCAACCTATTTTGGAGCCAATTCAATCCAATCAAACCGGACAAGATCACTGGGAGATGGAAGAGGAGTACTGTTGGCAAGAAGCCTAAAACTGCTAACACTTTGGAAAACGGACATCAAATCCATAAGACGAAATAATGCTTCAGCCGAGTGGACGTGTTGCTTTCTTGAAAACTCGATTTCTTACTTGTACCGTAGTCGCAAGCCTTTATGGATTGGCACAGTATAATCCAACGGGAAAGGAGAGGAAAAAAATTTAGGAACCAATATTATCATGTCAACCCACACATCGACGAAGGGCAAAAAAGGGTAGGCTGATTTATCTTCCATATGAATCCATCGGTCGATACATCTTGTATGTCATCGACAAAGAGGCACGCCGTGTATCTATTCTGGACCCTATTCATACAACACAATTGTTGGAGATGAAAATTCTGAGGCACTTAGTGAAATTAAAAAGTTTTGCGCGGGAATTCAAAGAAGCACTGGAAATAAAGCAACCAAGATGGCATTCCGATATATCAAAATGGCAACATTTATTTCCTGATGGTATTCCAATGAGCGTAGACGGGTAATAAATTTAGAATATAAACATTTATTTTTGTTATCATCATATTTAATACAATAACAATTTAGGAAATTACAGGGATTTGTTAGGCTATTTTGTCTTTTATTTTATGCTATTGTGGAATGGTAAAGGACCTAGCGAAGCCGGTTTGTGCGGTGAGTATTGTGTGTTACACATGTTTTTAAACCTTCCACGTAAAGTATTCATGCTACCCCCTCCATTTTTATATACAAGGCCACTATCAAAATAACAATTTGTAGATATACAAGGCCACTAACACTAATCGATGCAATATTAATGACGTTTGCCTCGTAGTACTCCCTCCGTTTCTTTTTAGTCTGCATATAAGATTTGGTCAAAGTCAAGCTTTCTAAAGTTTGACTAACTTTGTATTAAAAAATATGAACATTCACAATATGATATCAACATTATCAGATTCACCATGAAGTGTATTTTCATACTATATAGTTTTAGTATTGTAGATGTTTATATTTTTTTATATAAATTTGGTCAAATTTCGTATAGTTTGACTTTGACCAAATCTTATACGCGGAGTAAAAAGAAACGGAGAGAGTACTAGCAAAGGAAGACATTAACTACCCCTTGCATGCATGCGGGAATGGGAGGATTGGCTTGATGTGCATGAAAGAGAAGAATACACATTAATTTACACGGCAAATAAGGAGACAAGATGGCTTGCAATATTGACTTAGAAGACATTAACTTTTGTCTTGGTACCTGTAATATGGGTTTGTGGCCATGTATACAAAAATGGAGGGAGTAACTACATATATTGCTTTTGCAGGATGGGTATGAGTTGAGGAATCAATTTTTATTATACTTGCTCAAACATCATGCAAATGAAGCTAAAGACAACTTGCTTGGTATTGTGAGAGAATTTCTTAAGCGCACCAAGTAGATCTCAATACTTTGTAATAGATTTTTAACTGGAGATCACTTATATGTATACATTGTTGATTTACTACTTTGTTATCACTTTTGATTCCAAATGAAGTGGACTTCAAGTATTATGCAATTATGATTGTGTTATATTGTCTCTATCTATGACTATTTCACAAGCCCGTGAACGCACGGGCATTCTACTAATATAATTTGGTGCTCACAAAAATGACTGAAAGTTTGGGAGCATGGAATTGTTTGCAATCTTTCTGGACAAAATTCACCTAATTTCAACAATAGTTGGCATTTAGTCTTAAATTCTAAACACAAACATTCCGGTACCACCGAACTTTACGAAATACAAAACCCAGCTCATTAACCTATGCCTTTTCTTCCGAGGCCGTGTAGGCAATGTCCTCACGGACTAAACATGTTAAGTAGTAGAATAACATGAAACTCATGAATTTATGTGTATTACCAGGAAAAAAAATCGAAGGACTACCTATGAGTTAGTTACTGAAAAAGTTTTAAGTTTCTGTCTATTTGAAAGGAAGGAGTCTCATCCGTTGGATCGAAAAAAGAGTGGTCATATCTTTATTTTCTTCTTTCTCCTACCGTTTCCCCCCCATGCCACATTTATCTTGTTCCTCAGATATTCTTGACCTTGCCTCCACCCACGACATTATTCCCACCTCCAACGAGGTCGTTGTCTAATCCAAGCAGCAGTCAAAAAAAGAAAACCCCTTAATCATACCAGTCAATCTTTATCATCGCCTCTGCCAGCGACTCAGCGGCCACCTGCGGTGTTCCTGTCTCCGACGAATTCATGGCTTGGCCTCACCGGAGGCAACGCGTCTGCCGCAGTTGCAGATCCAACCAAAAAATGCAGGTGGGGCTGGGTGAGTGGGGCTCGGCCTTTACTTTTATCTTTGTTGGGGCCAGGGTGGCCCAATGTCCTCACGGACTAAACAGGTTAAGTAGTAGAATAACATGAAACTCATGAATTTATGTGTATTACCAGGAAAAAAATCGAAGGACTACCTATGAGTTAGTTACTGAAAAAGTTTTAAGTTTCTGTCTATTTGAAAGGAAGGAGTCTCATCCGTTGGATCGAAAAAAGAGTGGTCATATCTTTATTTTCTTCTTTCTCCTACCGTTTCCCCCCCATGCCACATTTATCTTGTTCCTCAGATATTCTTGACCTTGCCTCCAC